GTTAACCAATGTCATAAAACAACATGTGTACTACTGTTTCATGAGAAACTATTTGTTCTGTAAGCCTTCACCTGAAGTACAATAAAAAAAAAAAAAATGAAATGAGCTGATAACATCCAGGACTTATATTCCCTATTCTTGTTTTACTATAATTTGAATATAAATGTTTTTTAAAGGCATTTTTCTTTTAGAAAATGTATTGACAGATTATGTGCCTATCTTAAAAAAAAAAAAAATCTCCCTTCAAAGTTCTGAGTAACTCGGTTTCCTAAAGCTTCATGTAAAACCTGCCCTGATAGAATGCAGACATGGAGGGGTGACAAAGATTGGAAAGTTTGCTTTCTAGTTTGTCTTTCCAATACTTATTAAAAAGGTGTTTCTGAGACAACCGTAGACAAAATTGTTGTAATTTCCCATAGAAATACCTGTTTTCCTTCCGGTTAGTGACTTTGGTAAAAAGCATTATACTCAGCTATACACTTCTATTCTTCAGGAACATTTTTTTTTTGGTCACCATATTGGAAAACTGATCTATTTTTCTACACTGCCAGGATTAGAATATCTATTATGTTTTTCATACGAGTACAACTTTAAAAAAAAAAAATTTCATTTAGATAAACAGAAACTGTCACAAAGAGATTAAGCCAAAAGCCTTAATGTAGCCATTTCAGGATTTAAAAGATAACAGTGAATTGGCTGAGCAACATATGTGTGTTAATTATCGTTTGTTCATGTAACAAACATTTGTTAAATATCTACTTTAGGTGAACCACTTTGCTAGGTGCTGAAGAAATAGAGGTGAAAATTACGTTCTGCCTCAGAAGGTTCAGTGTCAGAAAGTCAACCCCACAGAGTTCTGTGGTAGGAGGGAAGGCTGCAGAAGCACAGGGTGGAGACTGTTAAGTCACTTCCAGCCAGAGAGGCTTCCTGGAAGAAGGAGACTCTAGGCTAAGAAAGGCATTTGAAGGTTTAGTAAGTGAAATTAGAGGCAGAACATTCAAAGCACTAGGGCAAGTGTATGCACAGAGGTGCGAGATCATGGTTAATACCAACAAGTGTGAGTACTTTGAGGTGATGTAGCTTAGGAAGTGGTAGAAGATGGAGTTGGTGGGCAGGACGCAGATCATGAAGGGCTCTGTGTGCTATGCTAATAATTAGAATTTATACTGAAGGCAATGGGGAGCCATTAAAGAATTTTAAGAAGAAAGTAACAAGGGAGTAGCAAGGGGAGGGGAAGGTCATTGGAAGTGGAAAACATCTGGAAGAAGACACTTCAGATTAGTCATCCATTTAGCAACAGGTTAAAAAAAAGTTAAAAGTCAGCTAATAGTATAGACATTAGATAAGAAAAGTCTGTTTAAGCGTTCCAGCTTTAATGTGTATTTAACTTAGATGGTTTAACTTGGTATCTTTGAAGACATTACTTGGGTGACAAGTAAAGCAATTCATTATTGAAGTTATTTGTTAGAGTTTCTAATAAAGCACTAGATGCATTTCACTACTGGAGATCAATAGTCAAGTTAAAGAATAACGCTTAGTAGAAAGACAAGTGACAAATTAAAAACTATAATGTGTTAAGAGAAAATAACCTTAATATAAATCACAAGTGTCAGACTAGAACCAGTTTTATTCATGAGTGCTCTTTGTGAAATTTATTGGGAAAATACCTCAAATAAGTAATTCAATAAAAGATTTTTAAAATATAACAAAGATGAGAATTTGGCATTTTAGTAATGATATCAGCATCCTACAACAGAGGCCAATAATGTGGAAAAAAATCAATCAGAGTCTGAAGAATAAGAGCAATTTAGATAACTTGGTCAAACAGCATGAGTAATTTAGTGTAAGTTTTTATAATTGAATAAGTCTAGATATAAAGCATAATCATATTGAATATGATCTAATTACACTGCAAATTTATTAAAAACAAAGTTTAATTATTTCAATAAAAAGAAATTATTGAAATCGAGACCTAATATAAACTTTGTTTTTGAGTTGTAAGACTGTATAGCAAAGGATAGTATAAGGTAAATATCAAAGGCTCTTTTTGTTTTAATGCTGCTCTACCTCCCAAGAAGGATAAGCTCTAATAAATCTTTCAAACAAAACGTGGAAGACAGGGGAGAGAGAGATGGGAGAAATCACTCTAAAATATAAACGAAGTCCTTAAAAATGCATACAGTCCAGTTAACACCATTTTCAAGTGTAATCAGATACATCTCTCCACAGTGAAGAGTTTACTAACTATTAGGGATATTTTCAAAAGCAAGAAAGTTGGAGTAAACAATGAACAAAGGGGAACTATTTTATTCAAAAGCCAGCACACATATGGAACCTGTTAAGGGGATGGTGGCTGTAGAAAGAACTACAAACGAGTTTAAGAGACACCTAGGCCTTCTCAGAAAGGAAGGGGCTAGAGGAAAGGGTGGTTACAAAAGCAGGGAAGTGGGACAGAGATCAGTCAGATGGGAGGGAGACAGGCTGTTGGGCAGATGGTCTTTTCTGTTCCAAAATGTTCAAAGTTAAGGGACACTCCTTAGTACACTTTTATTTTACACAAAGAGTGAATTAAGACGAAACCAAGGGCCCGTAACCAAGGGCCTGTCTGGGTTTTTTTGGATTTACTTGTGTCATTTCTTTGATAAGCTCTGCTTGTTTATTTCAGCTGTGGCCCTTCTTCAAACTCAAGCCCTCACTTAGTTCTCACTCTATAATCGTTGGGTTTCAATTAAAGTGTGAATTCATTCGAAGTCATATTCTGTTTATGTGGCCCAGTAAACCAACATGAACATTTCAGAGGAAGATTGATATTTCTCTTTCAAAAAAGACAATGCTCATTTATTTACCAAGTTTAGGGTCAGTCTAGACCATGGAAAAAGTAATTATTTTCTCTACAGTATCTGAGTGCCTCCATTAAAAATTAATGCACCCAGACAAATAATAGTTGCTTTGGCATAGAGGAAGAATGATATCTGATGAGTCAAGCTCACCTTTATGGCACCTGACAAGTAAGATGAATTCCCTAAGATATTTGACAGATCTGGTGTGGCTGCCAGATATAGGCCACTATTTAATCTCACTAACCAAGCTCACAAGGAGTACAGGGCCTTATCCTAGACACTGTGAGAAATAAAAAGCAGCAAAAGAACCATTCCTTTGAAGAGCTTAACTGCTAATGGGGAACCAGAATAAACATCTAGTAATGCACATAAACTCTAAGAATGAAAACATACAAAGCAATTCTATATAACCAACTGCAGATTGGAAGCAGCCTGGGACTTGGCTCAGTCAGATCAGTATGTAGCAAATGACAGGCTTTTCAAACACTCCACCTGGCCAAAGGCAGCTATTGTAAGCTCAGGGCTGGAACATACAGGAACCCAGCCAATAGGTACACTTTGAGAGAAGTCATGGCCCAGGTCTGCAAGGCACAAGCAAGCACCGACTAGAATTGACCACCTGAGTCCTGGAGCATTCCTCTTATTTCCATGATGCAGTCTGGGGATTACAAGGGCCTGCACTTTTCACTGGGCTATTTATAAGGAAAGATGGTAGAAGGGACACTTAATAATAGACTATGAGGTACCCTAGAAACCCAATTTATCCCAAGGAATGAATTGTGCATTCAACAAGGGAGAACTCATTAAATGCCTGTACTATGTAGTGAATACATTAACAAAATATAAAAACAGTTTTAACTATCTGTAATATATAGAAAAAATCTTTTAATTTTTATATTCACTTGCAAATTAAGTTAATTAAAATAAAAATTGTCTATTTTAAAGTAATATTAATATATAAGGACCTCAGTAATTCACATAAAAAAGAGTTTAAAATGATTTTTTAAATTTTTACTCTCTAATATCTAATCTAGGGGCTCTGGTGGTACAGTGGTTAAAGCACTTGGCTGCAAACCAAAAGGTCAGTGGTTCGAACTCACCACCTGCTCCACAGGAAAAAGACGTGGCAGTTTCCTTCCGTAAAGATTTACAGCCTTGGGAAACCCTATGGAGCAGTTCTACTCTGTCCCATAGGGTCACTATGAGTAGGAATCGACTCGACACCAGTGGGTTTGGTTTAATATCTAATTTAGAATTAAATATCTAGCCCGGTGGATCCCAGATTTGTCTGCATTTTAGAATCACCTTGGGAACACTTTAAAAATGTAGCTGCCCAAGCCCCACCTCCCAGAGATTTTGTTTTAATGAATCTTGGCTGAGGCCCAAGCACCAATTTTTTAACTAAGCTCCCCAGGTGACCTTAATGAAGAGCCAGCACTGAGAATCACTAGTATAGCCAGCCTCACTTGAACTATTTCTAAAAAATTAGGTTCAATTGCATTTTGTGGCCAACGTTACTAAGTCACTTCTTTCATATATATACACACGTATATATATATATGTATATATATATAATTAGCACAGTTGAAATGTATGGAGATTCACATGATTATAAATCAATAATTTTTTAAGATAAAAAAATGAACACTTCTGCTTGGATAAAAATGAACCATGCCTCCTTATAGCAGATGTCTGCCTCAATTATTAAAGTCAGAAGAAAAGGTTAAAAAAGAAAATTAATTGAAAAAGCACTCTCTCTTACACTTATTCTTTGCCTTTTTGCTTTGAAGCTATAAAAAAGCAAAAATAACCATCTGAAAGTCAAACCAGGGCAATTCTGCTGATTATCTTGTTTTCCAGTTCAATAGAAACCTGGTACACACCTCTTTTAAAGACAGTCATAGTGATTGGAGCACTGGAAGTTGGATCAGTTAGGCCAGGACTTCATTCCTAACCCTTCCCTGTTTCACTGAGTGACCCTGAGCAAGTCACTTAACTCATCTCCAGTCTAATGCACCCTCCTGAAACATTCCTTGCACAGCCCCAAGTTCCCCAAATCAGTAGCATTTTTATCAGCATCTCACCAGTGTGCTACCATCAGTCCAACGGAAGTCGTGCTCAAACATCTTGTCATTGAGGCCTATCCACTGATAATCATGGCCCACACCTAAGGGACGGGAAGAAACACACATATTGTTACTACTTTTCCTATATACGTATGGAAATATATCGAAGAGAATTATTTTCAGAGTGAATCATGCTTCCTTTTCTCTGAATTTTTTTTTATTAGTTGCTTGTAAAGAACTCTCATAATGTAACTTTATTTTGTTCTTCTGCCCTATGTGCTTTAAAATAAAAAGCCAATTTACAAACATATCATAAAACATTAAAATATTGGACACAGACAATTATTTCCCTGGCAGTTTATTAGAACAGTACTTTTTTTTTTCCTATCCTAACTCATGATAGAAACTTTCCATTTACTTTTTAGTTAAACTATGCCATTGGCAGAAATTCAATGACCCAATAAAATGTGCCAGGTCTACCCATGCTAGCCTGACTTTTAGAAGCCACGTGTTTCTTCTCAAAGCATTTTAAACAGGGAACACCCTGACCAGACAGTTCTATGAAACCACGCAAAAAAAAAAAAACTTACTTTCACAATGAGATGAAAATAAGGATACCATGGAATAATGTTGAATGAATCTCTATCCAGATTACAAAATAACAATCAAACGTCTAAAAGATAGCAAGCATCATGAGAACATATTTAATAGTGCATCAAACAATGCTTACTGAATAAAAAAATTTACACATTTGCTACGTAAAAACTAGCTGTCCTCCTCTTTGCTAGAATTTATTAATTTTATCTTATTTTGGTGGTGAATCTAAAATTGGGAATTATTAAGCAGCTTTGTATTAAGCTTTGTTAGCTTCAAATCTCTACTTATTTATGTTCTTAATATGAAGCCCACTTTCTATGGTTTAAAATAATTGGAAACTTGGATGAGAACCAATACACGTAGAGGATAAGATTTGGGTGCTATTAACAATTCAATTTTAATTAGCAGGATAAAAAATAACTGACAGTATCTTTTCAATATTAGACAACCCATAAGCATATTCATAATAGGATCATGAAGAGTTAGGTTGAACCATATGAAATGACCGTTTTTGCAAGTCAAGAAATAATCAGCTGGCAGTGATTTCAACCTATAAGATACCATTCCACATATTACTGCTGGCAGACCAAGCAATACCTTCTCATATTATAGTTGAATGTTTCCCAAAATGTGGGATTCATAGAGTGGGATGATTTTAAGTCGTTCACAGATGAGGGATTTAATAAGTTGAATTACAATCAAGAAAGCTACTTCTTTTCAGTTGGATACAGAAAAACCTAAGACTGTGGTGAGAATGAGTGAGGCTTCAGGAAACACAAGTCTATTTGGTACATACGATTCACGAATATCTGTTCTTCGTGAGACAGGATGCTTGTGAGATGAGCACCCTGAAGACGGCATTCCCGTTCAGCGGCATCCCATGTGCGTCGATGGGCGAAGTATTTGTAGCACTGCCCTTGGAACTTGTGCCAGCCATAGTCACATGTCTCAGTGTCTGGGAAGAAAACCAGTCAGAGGCTGATTAAACTCACCTATGTCATTTAAGCATGGCTTGCCAATCCAAGCGTTAATAGAAGATCCAAGTCATTATCTATGCAATGTCCCAGAGGTAAATGATTCATAAAACTTAGTGACTACCCAATGACAAAGAAATGATTACTGAGAGAGCCCAGCTGATTCCTGAGAAGTGTGTGTGGCTCTACTTCTTTGGGCTGAAAAGTCGGTATTTTTCCCTAACTGCAATTTCATTGATTAAAGTCAGTTTGCAGCAAGAGAGAAAAATGGACTAGGGGCCAGCCAAAACCTGTTGGGCTGCAGTGTCTGCTAACTTCCTGATGAAGCAGTTGGGGCTAATTCCCTACCAACAAAACTTTTCTAAAGAGAATCATTCAAGTGATAAGATAAGAATTCCGGATAGGAGGATTATGAATGCTCTATTTGCATAAGGACTTCAAAGGCTGGGAAGCAGTTCTTTCCCATTTCCCAGAAGGGCAACTAGGGGGCCACAGGCTCTTGCCATGTAAGATTTACAAAGAGAGAGAAAACAACAACAAAATCGTTCATGAGTAGGCAGCTTCTGGGATGTAACTAGGACTATGTGCCTTCTCACAAAAGGAGAGGGATTCCTGTGCAAATGCACCAGGATGTGAAAAAAAGGTGGGCTGTTTTAAGTTTATTAAGAATGAAATAACCCAACTTAAAGTACCCTCCATTTCACCAAGCTACACACACACACACACACACACACACACACACACACACGTGGGGGGGTGTGTGTGTGTATTTTATTCTCTTTCACAAGCACACTATCATCAGTATTTTGTTAGGGGTGAAAGTATTTTTCAAATATATCTAAATTTCACACTGGCAATAAGCTTCAGTTATACTTTCTAGATTGCCAGTTTTTATGCATTTTTCACAAAGAAAGCAGCCTTGCTCATAGCACTATATTCTCATTGGCAATCTTCTCTCAGACTCACCCATCCACAGGTGGGGTCAAATAATTCAATGTTATTATTCATATACATTGAATAATGATCAATAGAAATAATTTGGACTTTCTTAAAATATGCTAGCATTCAACTTCTTTCTTCCGAAAAAGTAAGTATCTTGAACTAATTACATGTAAAAACTAACAAAACCGCGAAGTTTATAGAATTTTAAGTACCAAGAAAACCTTCCAGTTACCTAATAACACCCCTTGCCCCGCCAAATTTTACTGATCAATGAAGAAAATAAACTTTATTTAATTAAATAAATGCTTGCCTTGGAAGTCAGACTTGGTGGCTGAACTGGAACTCAAATTGTCCCCTGACCCTCATTCCGTTTACTCCTCTTTCTATAATTGTGGGAGAGTATACATTCTGAAAAATTTATTTTTTCCCTGGCTTCAGTGATTTCGACCATAATCATACGACAGATGCAGCTTCTCTCTGCGATCACTCCTGATTTTCAGTTTAGTCTATCAGGCCTGTTGTTTAGTTACAGCTGACTGACTATTTTGAACAATTAGTTTTGAGTTTTATTAAAGTCTTGTTCAGAGACCATCAAATCTCCTAGGAGAGAATTCAAGACACAGAAGTTGGTTTGGTATAAAAGTAACACTCAGCACCCAAGAATGAAGCAAGGGTCAGCTACTTGGAAGAATTTAGAAGTGATATAGGAACGGTAGGGAGAAAACAAATTTTCATATATGAGGGGGTTAGTTTACGAGGGGAGGAGAACTGGAAAAAATTTCACAACATTCTTACTGCCAAAGTCAATAATCTGATACTGTAATAGCACAGCTTTCTTTAATCCTGGAAATTATCCTTTATTTTAAGACAGTTTAAAATCCTAGAAGATCTCTAACTTATTAAATAATATATCAGAAAAAAATTCTTCTGTACACCCTTTCTTGTCCTTACTTAACCCAAGTGGTTTTAGGCTGGTTTTCTTTCTTTGTCTTTTGTCATTAAACAGATTACCATTACATATTTTTCCTCTTACACCAAAAAAACCCCCAAAGAATCAGAAAACTTAGATGCATGACCACGTCATTGCTATGATGCCTTTCTCAGTTAGGTGAATATGCTTACAATAACTCTGGTTCATAGCCACAAAAGCTGAAATCTATCCTCTTTATGCTGTACAGGTAATTTTTTCAACACTTCTGGCATGCAGCTGTCAAGCTTTATGTAATTGCCAACACTTCAACACTTCTCACTGGCAAACGCTATCATTAGCTTTGGCTCAGGACAATCTATGTGTTCAGAATTGTCTCTCCGCTGATCCAAGACCCCTGTTTAGATTTTGTATGTTTTTATTCCACCAAAATGTGCTCCCTATTCTAGAGTTATTGAGGGTTGGGAAATTATTCATGCAGAGAAAAAGTCAGCTGAAGAAACAAAGAAACGGTCATTGCTGAAATTTGGACAGAATACTGTTCAGACAACAATGCTGCTGTTAATGAAGAAATCATTTGTTCTTAGGCAACCTGAAAAGTGGAGAAAAAAATCTTCCAGTATCCTGGCAGTAAATCACAGGATCACAGCTGCATCTGGTAAACAGACTGGGGTAGCTGTTCCTTAGCAAATAATGTGGATGAATGTCAAACTTGTTTTAAGATAAAATAAAACATAACTGAAAATTAGATAGCACCAGAAATCCAAGACATATTAACTCTTTCTTTTCAATATTCTTCTTTCAAAGAGGAAAAAGGTAATTGACCTCAAAATCCCTTCAAAGCTTTGTTACTTCCCTCTTAATCCATCAGATGTACATATAAATAAAATGCTTCTCTTGGACAGTTCCTTTGTTGTTGATGCTGTGTGCCGTGGAGTCCATCCCAACTCATAGCAACCCCATGTGACAAGAGTAGAACTGCCTCATAGGGTTTTCTTCGCTGTATCTTTACAGAAGCAGATCACCAGGCTTTTCCCCTATGGAGCCACTAGGTGAGTTCGAACCACCAACCTTTAGGTTAGCAGTTGAGTGTTTAACCATTTGCACCATCAGGGCTCCTTGAACAGTTCCTTTAGAAGTGTGAAAACACTGAGAAAAAACTAGGCTTTAGGGTTAGGCCACTTAGGTTCACTTTTCTTCCCACTTTGCAATTCACTAGCTGTGTGACCGTGAACATGTCACTTTTCCTCTTTGAGCCTCAAGGTCTGGCCTGCTTAACTCATAGAACTGCTGTGTCAAACAAATGAAGCAACTGGTAAACTACAAAGTCTTAAACAAACAGGAACTCTTTATTCTTTGTCAAGAGTTATCTGAATCATCAGGATATCAGTTCCACAGAGCAGGCACTTCTGTCTGTCTTGTTCAGAGCTCTATCCCAGGGCCCAGAACAGTGCCTGGAAGACAGTAGCTGCTCAATAAATATTTGTTGAACAAATGATTTTTGAATCACTCCTTGTACTTGGAAACAATGGAAGCCAGAATCATCTAAACATATTCTAATGTCTGAAGTGTCTCGCCTTTTGCTTTCTTTAACAAATGGCATCTTCCTAACGTTTTCCTCTAAGAAATTTAATTTAATATAATTTTAAAACAGACTAAAACCTATGCAATAAAAAAACCCTAAAAACTCAGTAATCACTCATTCCCTTTAAACAGCAATTCAATACATGCTCCTTTTAGCTTTGCTTTAATTGTGGAGAAGTCCAAATTAGCATGGCAATGCAGAACACAGGCCAGACCAAAGTGTCTGAGTGTCTAATACGTTTTCATTTTGTCTGGTGGGAGGGAAGTTTGGCACTGAGCACTTTTACCAAAGCCAAACCACTGTATGTCTTTTAGTACAGGAAATCGACGTTCCAAGGGTGAATGTGCTGAGCATGCAATCTGTTTCTGATTGATGGACTAAGAAATTTTACCATTCACCACCTAAAATACACTCTCAGGTTGGCCATAAAATGCAAATAACAGGGATCAAGAGATTCAAGCCATCGTGAACATAGGCCTGTCTTTCATTCAGTAAATGTAGATGCTTCTTCAGTAGGAAAATTTCCTGGTGAGCAGATTCACAATGTCTTTTACATAGTGTTTGCCAAGTTAAGGTTAATGTATTCAAACAACTATGTCAGTTTATTCTCCAGAGGAGTTTGACTATGAAAACTAAGTCCACTAAGTCTCAAGTGCTGAGGGGGAGAAAATGAAGGCAACTAACTTTGAATTCAATATCCCTTGGTACGCAGGCCACGTACGTGGATTAAGGTGGATGCCTAATTAGTCCCCGGGAAGAATACATACTACAATGTCCTTTTTGTTGGCTAGATGTCCTTAAATTCTGCTCTGTGTTTGTGTCTCCAATTCCCGTCTATCAGCAAAACAATAATCATCAAGTCAATACTTGTTCCGATGTTGAGAGCTATCCACACATAAGGAAACCTAATCTAGTCAAATATCCTGTGAATTTCTTCTACAGGAAAGAATAAGCAATAAGGTCAAAATTGCTACAAATATCCAATTCATTATGACAAAATGCATTCAGAAGCAAGGTCTGAAGTATCAAGAATCTTCATTACACAAATGCTACAACAGCTCTTACCTTGTTCACAAAGTGCACCAACATAGCTTGGAAGGCAGAGACATGTAAACGTATTAAAACCGTCAATGCATGTGGCCCCATTCCGACAGGGGTTTGAATGGCACTCATCAAAATCTGAAATAAAATATAAAAGGCCACAAAAATACTTTCAAAAAGAGCAAAAATTTCTATTTAGTGTAGGGTTGCCAGATAAAATGCAGGACACTCAGTTAAATTTAAAGATAAAATGAAAAAAATTAATATAAATAATAAAACAAAAAGAATATTTTTTTTAGTTTAAGTATGTCCCATATAATATTTTGAACACACTCACACTAAAAACATCCCTCCACCCATCTGTCAGTTTCTTGTCCCGTGGTGGCTTGTGTGTTGCTGTGCTGAATCTATGCCAGGTATGTCAAGCACCAGCAGGGTCATCCATGGTGGACAGGTTTCAGCAGAGCTTCTAGATTGAGACAGACTAGAAGAAAGTCCTGGTGATCTATTTCTGAAAATTAGCCAATGGAAACTTTATGCCAACTAACTTGCTTTGGACACATCATTAGGAGGGGTCAATTGCTGGAGGAGGACATCATGTTTGGTGAAATAGAGGGGCAACAAGGGCAAGGGAGGCCCTTGGCGAGATGGATTAGCACTATAGCCCCAACAATGGGCTCAAATATGCTGGCAATTTTAAGGATAACCCACAACCAGGCAACATTTTGTTACATCATACATAAATTGCCATGAGTGGTAGTCAACTCAACGGCAGCTATCTGTTTATATCTGTTGTTAGTGTTGTCATGTACCCTGGAGTCTATTCCAACTCACAGGGACCCTATAGGACAGAGTAGAACTGCCCCATAGGGTTACCTATGCTGTAATCTTTACGGGATCAGGATGCCTGGTATTTTCTCCCACGCAACTGCTGATGGATTCAAATTATCTACCTTTTGGTTAGCAGGCAAGCACTTAATCATTGTGCCACCAGGGCTCCTTTATCTATTTTCTTTTCTTTTTGTCTGAAATTAAAATTTAACTGGGCATCCTGTATTTTTATATGTTAAATTTGGCAACCCTAAGAAAATTTCAAAGATATTCAGAGTGAGGTCATTGTCTCCATCACTAGTAGAGTTACATGAAATCCCCTCTCACTTCCCACCACCATTTCTGGATCATCAGTTACCTCACATATAGAATACTGAAAATACCTAATTGACCTCTCTGTCTCTAGGCCCTTCCTTTGACAATATATCCTACACTCTGCTGCCTGTCATCTTCTTTAGTCATAGTCATGATAGTTTTATTCTTTTGCTTCCAAACATTCCAGGGATCCCAATTGCCTATGGCAGTAGTCCTCAAAGTGTGGTCGCAGGACCTGCAGCATCAGCATCACCTGAGTATATTAAAAAGCAAAGTCCAAGGCCCAATCCAAGGCCAGTTGAATCAGAAACTCTGGGACTGGAGACAACAATCTGTGTTTTACCAGGCCTTCCAGGTGATTCTGCTGCACAGTAAAATCTAAAAAATCACCAGTGTAGAGTATAAAATAAAACTATTCAGTGCATTTGAAGCAGGACCTTCTCAGACCTAACTAGACTCAATCTGTTTTCTCATATTCTCTCCCAATGTATTTCCCTCCCACAAATCCATAAATAGGCATACCTGAATACTTGCAGTTTCTCAAACACATTCTGTAGTTTGTGGGTCTCTGTGCTTTTGTTTGCTGTGTCATATTTCCCTTCACCACCTATTTAAATCCTCCCCAGTTCTAAGATCTATACAAATGTAACCTTTCTACACAGACCCTGCGACCTCTCCAGATTAAATTAATGACTTTATTCCCTTAGCATTTTCCAATTGCGCTAAAAAGTTAATACTTAAATTGAATGAAAAGAATATTTAAAAATAAATTAAAAACATACAAAACAAGTTAAATTTTCATGAAGCACATAATATATTCTTACCTAAAAAAAATAGCCTTCGTGGTGATGAAATTATATCTTAATGATACCAAACACTTCTATGTTGTTGTTGTTGTGTGCCGTCGGGTCGATTCTGACTCACAGGGACCCGATAGGACAGAGTAGAACTGCCCCCATAGGGTTGCCAAGGAGCAGCTAGTGGATTCAAGCTGCTGACCATTTGGTTAGCAGCCCAGCTCTTAACCATTGCGCCACCAGGGCTCCAAACACTTCTCTAGTGCTTGCTGAGGGCCTAGGGGAGTCCCTGGGTGGTGTAAAAGATTAGCATGCTTGACTGCTAACCGAAAGGTTGGAAGTTCAAGTCCACCCAGAGGCACCTCTGAGGAAAGGCCTGGTGACGTACTTCTGAAAAATCAGCCATGGAAAACCCTATGGAGCATAGTTCTACCCTAACACACATTGGGTTACCATGAGTCTGAGTTGACCCGACGGCAATTGCTTTTAAGTGCCTATGAGTTTCATATATATTAACTCTTTAAATTTGGGTTTTTTAAAAAATAATATTTGATTGTCTTTTCAGTGAAGGTTTACACAGCAGTTTAGTTCCCATTCAACAATGTCTACACAAGTTGTTCAGTGACATTGGATACATTCTTTATAATGCATCGACATTCTCGTTATTTCTATTCTGGTTGTTCCGTTTCCATTAACCTAGTTTCCCTGCCCCTTACATTCTCATCTTTGTTTTAAAGTAATTGTTGAGTCTTTGGTTTCATACAGGTGATTTTTTAAAGGAGCACAGTACTTATGGGTGATATTCATTATTTTGTGAGCCAATCTCTTATTTAGCTACAAGGTGACCTCATGGGTTAGTTTTGGTTCAAGGGTTGAAGAATATCTCAGGGCAATAGTCTCAGGGATTCCTCCAGTCTCAACCAGTCCAATAAATCTGTTTTTTTTTTTTTTTTTTAGGAATTTGAAGTTCTGTTCCACAATTTTCTTCCATTCTATTGGGTTCATCTATTGTGGCCCTGATCAGAATGGTCAGTAGTGGTAGCCAGGCACCATTCAGTTCTTCTGGTCTCAGAGTAAATGAAGCCATGGTTTATGTAGGCTATTTGTCCTGTAGACTAGTTTCTTCTTTGAGTCTTTGGTTTCCTTCTTTCTCTTTTGCTCCGGAAGACTAGAGACCAATAGTTGTATCTTAGACGGCCATTTGTAAGCTTTTAAGACCCCAGACACTACTCACCAAACTGGGATGTAGAACATAACTTTATGAACTACAGTATGTCAGTTGACTGTGATGTTCCACAAGACTATGGTCTTAATCCTCCAAACCCAGAAAACCAATCCCACAAGGTATTTGGTAATGCCTAAGAAGTATCTGTAACTGTGCCCCCTATATGCTTTATTATGTATATAAATATATGTACATACAGTCACAGACATACACCTATATATACTCACATATACATACCTATATACATATATGCCTACATACGTACATGTATTGATTGTGTTTTCAATGAAGGTTTACACAGCAGCTTAGGTTTCCATTCAACAATATCTACACAAATTGTTCAGTGACATTGATTACATTCTTCACAATACATGAACACTCTCATTATTTGTGTATACATACATACATTTTTTTGTTGTTTTTGCTGTCATTAAATTGTTTTTAATTGATTAAATAAGATAAAACAGAAAGGAAACCAAACAGATGTTTTTATGTATATATATTTGATATTTTAAGATGAAATTATTCCTTAATTGTTATCTGTTGCTATATCAGAGCCTTGATGGTGCAGTGGTTAAGAGCTTGGCTGATAACCAAAAGATCAGCAAATCCATCAGCCACTCCTTGGAAACCCTATGAGGCATTTTTGCTCTGTCCTATAGGGTCGCTATGAATCGGAATCAACTCGATGACAGTGGTTTTTTTTTTGTTTTTTATTGCTGTATCTAAATCCTCACTAATTAGCACACAGAGCTCACTAAATGTGCTGTATTATTTTTAAACAAGTATTCTTTTAACATGAGTTCTGGGGATTTTATCTCAATATCCCAGAGTACTCTGAAGTGTTATCGGTGAGCCTTCGTTACTCAATCCTCATAAGCACTTTCATGGCACCTCTAAAAAGAGAACCTGGATAATATACTCCGTTTCTTTTCTCAGAGATTTTTCTCAAATCAAAACTGGAGCTTTATTTAAAAAAAAAAAAAAAAAAGACAGGAAGAAAAAAAGAGAAAGCCTTAACAAGTATATGGGAGTAAAAGGAACTGATTTAGCAAACAGTTAATTATATTCTTTGGGACCCAAAAGAAGGGAGGAAGACAACAAGCCCCACACATCCTTGCAGTAGAGGTGGATGCAGCTGGCCACTGAGAAGGGCCAGAGAAGGATTTTTGCCCCACTCTGCAGAGGAAAAAGTTATCCCAAAACATAACAACCAAATCCCTTAATTTTTGAATATAGCATTGGGGGGGTGGTATTTAAATCGATCATTTATTGTTATGCAGATTTGGGGTATAGATTCAATGTTTTTGTTAATATTTACACATCTTTACATTTGTAAAGCCTATCTGTCAACCCACAAAAAGAAATGGCTGAACTCAGTAAGCCTCACTGAATCTTGTGTATAATTACAGAATTCAGTAAACATCTGTCCTCGTTTCTTGGATCCTAATTAAATTACTCTCAGGCCTTAACTTCATTTGTTAACAGATAATTCATCTACACCTGTGCTTCCCTGAAATCCTCTGATTGATTCAAGCAATATAAATGCAATCTGGAAAAGAATCACCTACTTTCAGCCAAGAACACCTTACCAAGTTCACATTGGTCTCCACTGTATCCTGGCACACAGGTGCATACATAGGAAGTGTCAGTAGGATAACAGGTGCCTCCATTAAGGCACGGGTTCATTTTGCAACGATCAGCTCCTACGATGTTCAGGAAAATAAGAAAAGTGATTAGGCTCATCACTAAGGTTTCAATGTATTTTAGCAAAAACAAAATGCCACTTACTGCTACCATCATATAAGCTTTACCATAGCAATTTAGAGACTACAAACAAAAATGAACATTAGCTTTACTCTCTGGAGTGTTTCTTGGCATTATAGCTAATTGTTACAAATTGCATCTATTCATTTCTGAGATTCAATCAGCATTATTTTTAAACAATATTTGGTACTATATCTGGCAACTAATATATTCTACTGCAGATTTAGTTGGCATGATAATGGCAACTGATTTTAGTCAAAAATGATTACACATATGTGCACAGTGAATGGAAAATGTGTTCTTTTAAATGGGGTTAGTTCATGTGAAATGGCTGGGTACACAAAACATGCATTCTGTTTAGCAGACTGGCTTGTTACCATCATTTGAATTATTATTGCCTTTTACCACTTAATGCTCAGAAACTTTTTCTTCGAAAGTGTGCACTGTAGTCTCTTCTGCTACATTAACATGCTTTTTCCAAAAACACGTTCCAAATGTACTCCTTTAAACTATACTTGAAGAAAAGCAACACATGGATTAAACTCTACTGTATAAAAACAAACCCAAATACAAAAACCTTGCCTAAAATGAATCCCCAAAGTTTTATTACCATTTTCTTATTAAAACACAAATAAAATTGACACTCCTAGCAGAGAAACATAAAGGCTAATGATGTAAATTTATGGTGAGACTAGTCTAAAATATACTTCCTAAATGGAAACGGTTTGATACAATTTGAAGCACATGGTTTATTCTGTAGGATTATTTGAATAGTGGTATTTACATTAATAGCTTATATTTATTATTTGTATACTTTGTCAGAATTGCTTAAGTTTCAAAATATTCAAGACTCCAAATGAGAGTTAAAAGTGTCACAAAATAATTGAAATAAAATAGACTATATATGCAATACAACCATGTTTTCAGGAATTTTAAGTCCCGAAGCCCTTAAATAATTGCCCATGCAAAGAAGACATCTAACTAATTATGAAACATTAACTTAAGGAGTATTAGAACAAACAAGCTATTTCTGTAGGAGATAATCGAGCCTTTCTCGCACTGGGAAGCCAAACTCAAACTTTCTGAGTGTTAAGGAAATTCTGAACTATTAGAAAGACTTGATAGCTATACATTCACATGTTGGGGGTTCATGTTAAAATTAGGTTAATTCAGACACTTACACTTGCTTTTCTAAAAACTACCCCAAATTTTCTAAGACTCTCTTATAGTTGCAAAAATAGCCGTTGTATTTTTTATCTTTCTCCATTTGAAATACCACTGCCTAGTGACAAGGCTGCAGTCAGCAACATATCTATATATTACCTTCCATGCAAAATCCAAATGATACTTATGTGAAAGTGCTTGGTGAAACTGTGATGTGCCACACAAACGTGAAATACTATTACTATTCCCACTACAGACACTAGACGCAAGGCTGAGAGTGTGAGACAAGGGCTTGGCAAGAAACTGGGCCTTTTTGTGGACGTGAAGTAGTTCAGATTAGCAGAAAAGTTTTGTTTCCTTGAGTAGTATCCCTCCCTAAACAGTTTGTACTAATCTCTGAAAACTGAATTTGCAACAGATAGACCAGGCAACCCAGTACGAGCTTCTGTTTACTGAATTAAACGAAGGTGACTTTTTTTTTTGTAATGAATACACAGCACAAATTCTTTGTAAACACTGTGGACTGGATAACTGGTATATATTTATTCCTTTCTCTATATATTTAATTGTTGTTACAGACTATTTCTATATCACATTTTACCAAACTCAATTATCTTTCACCTAAATTACAAAAGAGTAAACTTTGGCCAGATTATTTGATTATCATTTACAGATAAAGTATAGAGCAACAACAACAACAAAAAGTTCCAGCGTAACCCATCTTTGATAAACTTTATTCACAAAATACTTCAAGGTATTTATAAAAAATTACATTTTATGACTATCTTACTCTATCTGAAACATATCAGAACAAAGTATTAGGACACAAAAGATAATGCTGATCTAATCAGAATAATAATCTAACTATAGCCATGCTGTAAAATATATTCATTAAAATTAAAAGTACATTTTCAACCAACACTACCCTTGAAGTATTGATTCTTTTTTTTCTTTTTCTTGGTAGTGGCTAGGTGATGATGTCTACTTGTCAAGTCCACTAACATTGTTATTTAAATAATAAATTTCCTGGGAAACACAATAAAGCCAACTTCTCAATATTCTTAGGCTAGATTAAGAGGAAAATAAATTCTACAAAGTAAATATCCCAAGATTTCTGGTTTACATATCATCAAATAGCAGTTGCTTTTTTAAGACTATATTGGAAAGCAGCTCTTTCCACTAAAGAGCATAGACTTCAAAGTCGAGCTGATCTGGATTGAAATTCCACTTTTACTACTGTATGGCTGTGCATCCTTAGGCAAGTTACTGCACCTCTCTGAATTCCACATCCTAATCGTTTAAATGGGAATAATAATATGCGCTTTATAGACTTTTTGTAAAGATCAAATAAGATGGTCTATATGAAGCAGTATCAAATTTGTGCTTTCTGTACATTGAGTAAATACACAGAAATTCTCTCTCAACAGGCAGAGCATGAATGTTTACTGAATGAATACCCACTATAGCTAGGCACTGTGTTATAAGCATATGTGGCCTATCTGAAGCGAAGAATTTACATAAAAGTATGAACAGATAACTGATATTGCACAAACCATGCAAAACATATCTTGCAGCTACTTACTACTCTCACATTTTAAAAGCCTGACAGATTTTGACATTGCCAAAATCACACCCATCAGTGGAAGATTAAAAAGAAAAAAAAATATATTTTTGTTTGTTGTTGAAACTAAGATGTGTAACTACAGAACATATGACATAGCAATACAGCAATATTTTAGTTATGAGTAAAAACAAATGTAATTTTTACACTATTAATAGTTTCATTTATTATGCTGCAATTGCATGTTGCTTTTAAAACCCAGAAAAATTTAAAGTATATATTTAAAGCCTAGAAATCATCTATACTTACTTTCACTCCATCTCTTTATACACTCAATATCAGGGCCTGACCTGCTGTTATGTGAACAATATAAAAATCTACATTGATTTAACATCACAATAAAAATATATGTTAGGACCAAGCAACTGTTTCCAGGTTTAGAAACAGGTTTATAAACATTGTGGCCTTACCTGGTAAATAGACTGCTGTGCCTTCCACTGATTCTTCATTAATGCCAATCAGGAAATCACTTTCGTTAGAAGGTCCCAAAAGGGAAAATGATGGTGTTGCTAGCTCAGTATTTAACTCCGCTGTGCTTACTGTTGCCTGAGTATTGGAATCAAGAATTATCGCCGACACTTGCTGTTCTGATGCTGTTACTGTGGAATACTCCCCTCTGATTAAAGCTGCTTGTGTTTCAGGGTTTATTTCCAGAGAAGAAGGAATTGTGGGCTTCTCAGAAGTTTGTGGGCTGGGCTGAGGCACCACACCTGTCTTGACCCCGTGAATTGCAGGAGCAGAAGTGGAATGTGGCCATTGTGAAGCACCTTCTAACTTAATTTCACCTGCAGCTGTGACAACAGTTCCAGCTTCAGGCGTTCTAACACTGAGAAACTCCTTGATTGTTTCTCCAGAAAGCTGAACATCGGTTTTGTTTCTGGACTTTTGGTGAACCTCAAATCTTTCCTCAGCAATTAGTTCTGAGGGAGAAGCTTCCATTTCTTTTAATGACTTAGGTTTACTTTCATCTTCTGAAAGTTCTAATTCTGTGTTAGGAGATAAGGATGGAGGCTCAGTTATGTGAAAGTATTTTTCAAGTGATGGTTTGAAAGTTGCTTCAGTATTTTCATAAGCTTCCTTGGCAGAATCTCCTGAGGACACTTGAGTTGCTCCCACATCTGTACCTGGCAGAGCACTTGGCTCAAGATCCTCTGTGTGTTCAGAGGCTCTACTGCCTAAGTACACAGTGACTAGAGATGATGGTGTCTGAGAAGACAACTTTGCAAATGCTGAAGGTGCTAATGTTGTATCAGTATAGCCTGGGGGGTTGGATCCTTCCATCACAGTGGGAGCCTCTGTTAACCTCTGAGCCATAAGATGGATTGTACCAATACTTACATAGGGCGTATGATCTATCAATGCTTCCTCAGCTCCTGAAGAGAATTCTGGCTGAAATGAAGGGCCTACATATTTCTTTTCTTCATATTCCTCCTGTGTCCTTTCCAAATGGCCCAGCGTTGATATTATTTCACTTTGGTCTGCGATCGCTTGACCATCAGACAAAGTGCTTGATTCAAAGATGTCATCCAGGGTTTTCGCTTCAGTTTTGGGCTCTTCAATGTCTGGATTTACAGTGGTGGATTGACTAGGAATGGGCAGGGATGCTGCTGTGGGAAGTGAAATATCTAATTCTGTTTCTGTGCTAGGGATAGGGATCCCAGTTGTGAAGATAAAACCCATGTGATCTAATTGGCTCCTGTCTTCAGAAGTCATTGATTCACTGTGTGTTGCCTGAGTATAGCTAGCCAGAAGAGTGTCACCACCAGAACCCTCCAGTTTTTCTTCAGTTAAAGAAAGGTTAACAGCTGCACCATACTCTTCTTGAACTTGAGAGCTTTCTTCATTACTGCCATGTGGTCCTGCTTGTACTTCTGGATCTGTGTCCGTTTGCATTCCAAGGATGTCTTCATATACAGGTTTAGTGTGATCGATATCTATGATAGTATTCTTATCTGATGTCAGCTCAGGTAGAATTTCCAGGATGGTACTCTCTGTAATTGTCAATATTAAATCCTTGTCCTCTTTGTCAAGGTCTATGATAATATTTTCTGTGGCTTTTCTTCTGTCAGGCTTTAAGGTGGAATCCTCGAATCCTCTGAAACTATCTGAGAAACTACCTGTAGCACCCTCTGTGGACCTCTCATAGAGCATTGTAGTTGATGGTGCACTAGTTGGCTGAGGGGAGCTTTCATTCTGCTCTGAATGAAGGGAAAGCACTACTGAAACTGTTGGGAATCCATCATCAGTAACAGCTTTAGCACTGGAAGCCTCAGGATGTTTTTCCAGGAATCTATTCGAAACAAATGTGGTGCTTCCTTGCCTGGTTGCCTGAGTCGTTTCAGAAGTGTGGACTAAATCAACAATACCTAATTCCCCAGATCCTTCTCCAGAATGTTCATAAAACAATTCAGATGGTTTTGGTGGTGATGTAACAAATCCTTTGGCCATTTCAAGACCATAAGTTCTAGCCAGAACACCAGATGAGGTTACTGTTTCTTTAGTTTCTGCTGTTGAAGAATTCTTGTTGGAGACTTGTTCAGTCACAGTTTGTGCTCTAGTAGTCTGGAGTTCTTCTGCCCAACTAAGAGTCTGATTTTGAGGATGTTCAGCGTCTGTGGGAAAGGAGAGAGGTGCCACAGTGGGTCCTTCTGCTCTGGTATCACTTGAAATTCCCATCATGGTGGAGCTGGATGTTGTTTGGCTACTTTTAGGGGTACTAGCGGTTTTGGAAATGAGTGGTATAACTTCATTTGTTACATTTTCCATCCCCTCATAGTCTTCAGTTTCATCACTTGAGACCCTTGTTTCTAAACTTTCCACTCGAGAGGTCTGGGGATGTAATGTGCTAATGATTTGTTCCATTTCAGTAAAATTCACTGACACTGTAGCTAGAGTAGGTAAAACTTCTTCTCCTGATCCCAGTCCAGAGAGTAAGAGATCAGTATCTGACTCTTTAATGGTTGGTGTCACATCTTTGGGAAAGGGTTTTATACTTTCCTCCTCTTTGATTGATGAATCTGTAACTATACTTTCAGATGGTACAGATTCAGTTACTGAACCGGTAGCTAAGAAAACGTGTGACTTCTCAGTAACCTCAGGGACAGCAGTGTATGGTTCCAAGCCTTCCAAGCCCTTTGTATCTGGATCTGGAGTAGACATGTGTAATAAGGGAATGACTTCCTCCTCCATTTCATTGGCATAACTGTAAGTTTTCTTTGTTGTTAGTATAGAATAATCTGTTGTTAGGAGCTCAGTTTCAGAAGACATTTGTGAATCAAAAATTGTTTGTTCTGGTGTAACAGAGCGTTGGGGAGATTCAAAAGACATTTGTTCTTTAATCTTTTCCTCTGATGTTGTTTTATTTTCAATTTCTTGTCTTACAAGGTTGACTTCTTGACTGGACCATAATGTGGCTGGCTCCAAAGTTTGAGGAAAGTCCACTGAAACTGTGCCACCAACCATTACGTCCCCCTTTTCTGTTGGAGATTCCATACCTTCAGCTTCTGCTGTTGGTAAAATCGTGAGTCTCTTATCAGCTTCAGTGATAGCTCCCATTTCTCCCAAGCCTTGGTCAGTAAACGGGGACTCTGTACCAGAAACTTTTCCCATGACACTGGGAAGCACTTGATCAACAGAACTGCTGATTGAGACCAGTTGCTCTCCTGAGCCCTCGGCTGAGGCTGTGAACTCTTCCCAAGGGAAAGCTGAAGTGCTGACCATGGTGTTACTAGGTCTTTCCGAGTCAGGCATGCGAGTAACGTGATCTGAAGTAGGTACTGCAGAGGGTGAGGTTTCAGTATCCATAAATGTTGTATCTCCAGAGCCTTCCATTATTTTTGTTTCTTCTTTTGTTATGGGAGGAGATACTGTCAAGTATTCTCTAAATTCACCACTGAAATCTTCCTCCAAAGGAAAATCTGTAGGAAAACCCTTTATTTCTGCCCCATGACTTGGCTCTCCTGATATCTCTGAAATCAAGTTTTCCTTGGATGTTTGGCTCATGATTTCAGCAACTTGTCTATCCACTGCAGTACTCAAAATAAATTCTGTTGGATCGAAAGGGAATGTATTTTCCACAAGGGAAGACAAAGTACTAGCTGCTTCCTTTTTGGTTTGAATATCAGATTCTAAATTTAATGAAAATGAAGAAACAGTGGTGGTTTCTGGATGAACAGCAGCGTCTCCAGAGCTCTGCTCCGTAAAGAGAGAGACAGGGCTACCTGGAACAGTGGTCAGCCCTTTCTGAACCTCAGCTTGATGACTAGTGCTGTGCTCAGTGACCTGTGCCCCCAAATTGCCTAAAACATTTGTTTCTGTAAAGAGAGTAAAACTTGTCATTTCCCTTTCAGACTGTGTGGATGTTGTCAAGGATGTAATACTTTTCCCAGTAGTAGAAGCTGAATCACTAAATGTAGTTTCATTTGAACTCTCTAATTCAGAGGGTAAAATTAATTGATCTGATCTCTGTGTGGGTGAATCTTTCTCAATTGTAGAAGCTGTACCTGGAGTTTCCTCCTCCTCATCTTTCCTTTTCTTTTCCTCAAGAGATGTACTGAAAACCCCTTCGGATGTGTCTGTTTCACTTATAAGTTTGATAGGCACTATTTCTGCAGAAGGTTGTTCAGAAACAGAATAACTGGTGGTTACAGGAACATCAAACAGACTTTCTGTGATCATTATCTTGCTAGTATCTAAAGTACCTTGTGTATTTGTAGTATTTCTCTGTGATAAATCAGCTACCACAGTGAACATTTTATTTTTATCTTCTTCTCCTTCCCCAGAGCCTTCTGGCATCGGAATTGAGGAAGGAGTCCCTAAGAGCTCTCCAACGTGTCTAGGCGTTACTTCTACCCAGCTTTCTATGGTGGAGAATGCATCTTCAGGCTGTGGATGTCCTGTTGGGGTAACTGATTCTTCTTCTGAAACATTTGCTGACACAGAACTTGGAACTATGCTTGGAGTATATGTGATAGAAGTACTTTTTTCTGCCTCCTCACTAAATGTTACTTCTGTAGGCCTTGAAAAGACTATTTTCTGAGATTCTTGGTCAATGGCATCATTTCCTGAAGATTCTTCAGGAAACAGAGGTACTGATTCAGTATCATTAGGCACCAGATTATCAAGTTCAAGACCTCTCTCTGTGACTGAGTCTGGCCCCTCTGTGGCTTCTCCCTCATGGAATTGAACTGTGGGGAAAACACCATGCTCACCACTTGAAAAGTGTTCTGGCGTTTCAGAGTAAGTCTCAGGCTTCCATGTAATTTCAAGTGATTCAGATTCTTTAGATTCATTTAGTTGCACTACAGTAGACAATTCAGTTTCAGCTATTACAAACTGATGACTATCACTTTCACTGCTGTCTGAAATTTTTTGAGAAGGTGCAACACTCTCAAACTGGCCACGCCTAGCTTCTGCAGCTTCTTGGTCCTTGGGCACAGTGGTGACTAGATGCTTCCCATTTATGTACTGCACTGATGGGGTGGTTGTTACGTCAGTAGCATTTGCACAGTCTTCGTCTTCCTCTTCATCTTCTTCACTGTGGTATATATCTATTTCAATTAATTCAGGTAAAATTTCAGCAATTAGATCATGCTCTGGATCTGTTTCTTCACTACAAGGTTCTTCTTCTTTAGATTCTGAATCTATTGGATGACCAATTACACTCAAATCACTCATTCGACCTGAAAAAAACAAAGAGTTTTCACAATACTTAAATAGAAGATTTGGCAGTGTACTACAGAAGAAATCGATAGCAAGGCTGACCACATTCACATACCCAAAGGATTCAATTTTTTTTCACATTAAGTGCAGTTACCCTTCACACATGGTTCTCAGTCTTCAAATTTGCTGTTATATTAACAATAGGAAAAACAAATAAATCCAATTTAAGGTTATAGAAATAGGTTATGACAACTCTTTTAAATGATTAACAAAAGCAACAAAGCCCTTAAAATGAAATGAAGAATCACATATATATTATAATCTGGATGTGGGAACGCATCTTTGTGTAAACTGAAAAAAAATTTGTTTTAATTATGATTATTTCATTAGATTAAACAGAACAAGTAATTGATTATTGTCCCTGAATGTAAGGGAAGGCTTAGACATCACTATTCAATAAGAAAAGGAGAATAGATTCCTTCTGGCCTTTTGTCAAAATCTGTACTAGAGAACACTGTTTTTAGAAGAGTAACATTTTCAATAACCAAGAGAAGTTTCTTTATAGCCCTTTTAAGGTGCAATGACAACCCCCACGCACTGCAGCAGTGCAGTAGGAGCTGCGGAGGAACCATAGCTGCAGTCATACCGCATACACAAGAGCAGGAAGCCCTGGATGGGATGGCTCTGTGCAGGGATAGCTCACTGAAAGTATTAGAAAGTAAAAGCCCTTACACCTTTATCCTTTGTGGGAGATGACCTGGATTGGGTCAATCACAGTTCTTGTTATTGGCATTTTTTCCAAGAGAAGTTCAGAAGGCACACCTAAATATTCTAACTAGCATACATCAAATAGCATATATCATCAGAACATTCCCTAGAGTGTAAACTGCCATAGGGCACAAACTACTAACTCTTCTTCCACCAGAAATACACCAGGAAAGCTCCTCATCATGGGCTCGGAAAAGAAAGAAGATCTGGGGTCTTGCCCTCATCGTAGTGGCCGTCAGCTGTCCTAGGAGAGGGCCTGCTACCAAAGGACTTCCCAGGGACACGGCAGTGCAAAATGGCACCTGTGTATGAATTGACCCATGGAGAAGACAAAGAGAAGTATAGAGGATTATGCAATGTCCTTCCCACCTCCAGAGACACTGTTGAGGAATTCCTTTGCAGCCTATCCCCCATCCGTGCAACACATACTTAGGTTGAAACTCCTAAGTTTATAGAAGGAGTAACTATGACAGAGCCCCATCTGCAGATTAGAAAGAGTAGTTTTCTCAGGAATTGCTCCTGTTTAAGAAGCAGCTTCCTTCCACGTAGAAATGTATCAATATCTAGTATTTACTAATACATCAGAAAAGAAAAAAACCCTATTGACAAGGAACCAGTGTGGCTTGTATTCTAGTCTATTTTGTGTCAACATAAATATGGAAGTATATGAACTATCAGTATGAACTCTACAGAAGTTCCTTCCAGGTTTTTAACTTTAAAAAACAAAAGCCATAAGACTTTCATGCAACTAGAAGACATATTCCATATTTACATTTACTCCTTTTACTCTAATAAAAACAAGAAAAGAAAACTTCTCTGTATCTCATACTGTATTCCTACTAAATCATCTAAATAAACACTTTGTGTAGGGTTGGAATACCTTTATCCTAACTAGATGTCCTTCTTGTTTAACTTTCACACATTATAGTTCATTTATTATATCCCCATTCCATTCCACACCATACATTCAGCCTTTCGACAAAGACTTATGGATATTCAAATGAATGAAAAATATTTCTACCACACAGAGAAGTCAGAGAAATTCATAACTCTAGTATACCATAAAAATATGAAATGAATGCAGATAATTTCTGCCATAGATGTTGCAAATATTGCCAACTTCAAGAAAATGACTAAATATCTTACTTTTTAAAATACAAATTAAAAAGAATAAGTTGGGCCAGTATTAGAGCACTGCAATTGTTGTTGTGATCTTACAGAGAACAAAATAAAATCTTCAGAAAATTTCACCTTCTTAGTATGGCTTGGGTGGAAGCTTATGCGCAGAAAATGTTTAAATTATATGAAAGAATACATTTTAAATGACTTTTGCACTAATGAATCTCTTGAAATATCTTATCAGTAATTTTATCAAATCACCAAATCAAGTAGTCTCTTATTGCTTATACTATTTAAACACACTTGAACTAAAGCAGACTTGGTTATACTATTCTGTACAGCTTCGTGGGATATAACGAGAACTCCAAAAAATGTGCATATCTTAAATTGTTTCTGATGTCATTTCACATACAAACTTTTTACTTTGTTTTAATCTGTGTAAGTAAAACTAGAATTCACTACTATTAAGAAGCATCACATGCAAGTACCCTAAATTTACATCAGTCTGTTTTTCATTTAAATACAGAAATAATTTTAAATCAAACACATGGGTCAATTTTAAGCGTATAAAGAATCCCCACCACATTTTGTACCTTTTTTAAAATAGTAGAGATAAAATTAGACATTTAGTTAGGCTTCTCCAGCCAAACATAAGGATAAATAAGGAAATATCTGCTCAATATTGTATATTTCTGAACCACCAGATGGAGAATAAAATCAGTCATTACTATTTTGTCATTTTTTAATTAAATTCATTACTTTTAAAAAATAAAACTAAGATAAACATACCCCATGATCTTCTTAATGAATAACTATAGATAGAAATCAAGTATTATGTTGACCTCACCGAAAAAGGTGGGGTGGAGAAAGCAGAAGGAACGAAGACACTAAGGAGTGTCAGTGCGTCAAAGGAACTGAGGAATGTTTACGGCGCTCAAGTAAATATTTTACAAAGCGGTGAATAATTTAAAGTAAAATCTTTTTCTGCGAAAGAAAACAAAGAAGAACTCTGATTGTGAATAAGTAATTTATATAATTTCATTGACTTCATCAACTCTTATCAAATTTACTTAGTTCTATGGTGGTGTAGTGGTTAAGAGCTACGTCTGCTAACTAAAAGGTCAGCAGTTCAAATCCACCAGGCACTCCTTGGAAACTCTACGGGGCAGTTCTACTCTGTCCTATAGGGTCGCTATGAGTCGGAATCAACTCGATGGCAAGGAATTTTGGTTTTTTTTATTAGTAAAATAATTTGGCATTCACTTTCTAGTTGGTCATTTTAGCTCCAGTGAACAAATCATAGACTCTTTTAGTTCCCTTTCCACTTACTGGATAAAGAACTCAAACATTTCCTGTTGTTCATAAATCTATGAGAACGTCTTAGCATTTTAGAATATTTTATCACATCCCATCAGAATCCTTTACTGAAAGACTCAACTGTTAGATGCAGTATATTTCATCTTCTAACTTAAATGAATACCACAATATTTCAATCACAGCAATGCACATACAGCAAAAATGTGACCTTTGCATACCCTTCCCCACATAGCTCTACTTCATCCTGACTTTTGCACAAAAATTAAATTCACTATCACAATCGTGCATGCTACCATAACCTTACTATCTCCTCAGGACCCCACTGATTGCACAAAATTTACTAAGTACCTATTATGTATCAGATCCTCTGGCAGACAGACACTTGCTTACCAACTTTATAGAGACTCAAGACTTTCAAGTTTCTTCTCTGTCTCCCTCTTCCCACCCCCACTTCCTCTCCCTCTCAAATGCTCTTTCCAATACGTTAGAGAACTGGCCTTACTAAACTCTTTTCTCTCTATTTTAAAAGGAAATTTCTGAGTGCACATATTGCAAATGTACCAATCATTAAATTCAGATTAAGATTTATTCCTCCACCCACTTCCCAATACCTGATCTGACTTGTCTTCAAAATCATAGAAAATCTAGAAGCATTTCACGCTATTTCATCTTATGTTTCCCATGCAACCATGAAGGCAGCAATGACCAAACAATTGTTGACACATCATAAAAAAGTGATGGAGAAGAAACTGTATATTAAAAAGTGTTCATTTTAATAATTATTAATAGCATTTTTCTACTAAATAGGAATACTTAAATGAAACAAAGACACAAAATTAGAGTTGAAATTACTTTGTTTGCTTCTTCTGAAAGAAATAGTCTCACAATTAAGCAACTAATATCCATTATTTAAATAAGCTATGTTAACTTCCAAATGGTTTCACTGGGTTTCTTAGTATCAGTTTGGGGGTGGGGGAAATGTTAATTACCTAGGACTATGAAGTTAAATTTTTCTACCAACAGATTGTCTACAGATCAATCTACATTTTATTCTGTCAGTGTGGCTAGGCTTGTTCCCAGACTTTTAAAATGACATGGGGGGGGGTGTGAAATCTCCCTACCGTAGATAAGAGAATTCTTTCCGGCCACCCCACACTCCTGTCACCATCCCCTCACATCTCACCCACATACACTTGCTTCTCTTTGTTTATTCAGCCTCTAAAATTACCTCCTCATCCCGCTTTCCTATTTCCACCCCCATCTATCACACAGATTATTAAAAAGTTTCAAAGCCTGTAATTATTGCAAACCAGAAAAGTTTCCTTGTGGGGTGTGGTGGGGGGACACCTGTGCTATTGTGAAAGTAGGTATCTCGTTCCAAAATTGTAACTGTACCAACAGAACAACCTAACGGAGTATTTAACATTCCAAGCTTTTAGATGAACAAGTCCTTATAAAAGACTGCTCTATTTTTGAATTTTATTCTGGGGTAACATAACTTTTATTTGGATTTCAGGAGTCAAACCACAGAACTCTACACAGTGTATGTATAATCTTTTCTATGTTTATATGAATGTATTTTAACAGCTTGACTTGAATATACTAGTAGCATGGTTAATAGGTTTTTTAATGGCATTTCACACAAAGCTTTATTGCTAGCTGACTTCGAATTATTCACCAAGTACTTTTAAGTACTTCATGGCAGAGTTTTGTAGACATAGCACAAGTCTTCCAGTCAAACTGTTAGCAGACACAAAACATAGTTGCTAAGATGCATAGGCAGCTGGTTAAAGTTCATGTTCTCTTTAGGGAATTT